AGCATGGTGGCCAGGACACACCCAACATGTGGAGAATTATGTACGCAAATATTCTAAATGTGCTGAAATAAAGAATTTTTGCCACAGTAAGTTACACTTTTGGCTTAAGGAAACAGAGCCATGGTCTAGAGTTCATATGGATCATGCTAATGGGGTAGGTATATACCTGATACTGGTTGATGCTTTTTCCACCTTGCCTGAAGCTTTTCAAGTTCAGGATAAAAAAATCTATTACTGTAAAATAAATATTATGCATAATATTTGCTAGAAATGGAGTACCAAAAACTTAAGTAACAGAAAATGTTCCTGAATTTTGTGACATGCTCATGGTTAAGGTGGATTGACTGTGTCCCATATAAAACACCTCCTTACCACCCTCAATCAAATGGGATTACTGAATGAATGATCCAAACAATAAAGATGTGGTTGAAAGCATTTTCTTCTCAGCAAGAAAAGATTGAAACTTTCCTACCAAGATTATTGTTGATTTACAGAACAATACCACATGCTGACATATTAGAGACCCCATCTGCATTAATGAGCAGACATATTAGTGCTTCATTAACCATGTCTTACTCTGTTAATCAAAACATATGGTACAAAAGAAATAAAGAAAATGAGCCGGAAAAGAGGAATTTCATAATGCAAAAAGTATACAACACAGCATTAATATGCAAGAATGGTAAAAATATTATTGACCATGCAGATCAGTTTCCTCTAGACAAAATTACTAAAAAAGCAAAGTTCAAATTAGAAAACAAGTTAAAGCAAAGTTCAAATGATGAATGGATATCATTTTCAAGATGATCACATTTCTTAGGAAGACCCACCTCGTAATGGATGGTCCCTCTTAATATAAAAAATCATGCTCTTTGACATGGGACACAATTTAGCAGAATAAAAGAAATAGACTATAGACTTTGGATATTGTTTTGTCTAACCAACCTTCGTTCTAAATACTCTGATTGTTAATTGTTTTATGAAAACCAGTGAGAACTGTTGGAGGGAAAAAAAAACATCTCAACAACAAAATGGGAGAATAAAAAAATACTTGTATAGATTCCTCTCTCCAAACAGGGTGTGAAACCATGTGAAAAAAATTCAGGGAGATTTAATGGGACTGGTTTAACTAACAGGTAATTAGCATAAAGAGAGATATAATTATAGCTCATGAGCAACTTTGAGTCAGTGTATGTAGAATATCTATGGCTACTATGATCATAAAAGTAACAAAAATAACACTGCCTCTGAAACCACAGCAACTTGAGGAACAAAAATCCTCACAGGACTGACTTCACAAGACACTGCTGGTTTTCCCCACTGCTTTTATCGGATCTTGACTAGTTACAGAGAGGCCTGTATGTAGACATGCCAAACTGATCTGCTGCTAACAGGAAAAATCCAGATGTAACTGGTGTGGCAAACATAATTGTGTGTGATCCAAGGCCATTTTTGCTTCTGTATTGCACTCTCAAGATATAGGATATGAGTTCAAGTCTTGTTGAATGTTATGTCTTTATTTCTGACACAGATTGCTTACTTAATAACAGAAGAGTTTAAAGACCACAAATTAAAAAACAAACAACAATAAAATGAAATAGAAAATTCATTAACAATTTAAATTTTTCTTCCTTACCTGGTTTGTCTATGCCATCAAAATATTATGGAAATATTTAAGTTTTAATATTTTAGAAGCACAATGCAATTACAAAATTACTATCTATTTATCTGTAAGTTTGTGGATGTGAAGTTGGTATACAGGATGGCAGCTCAGAATGAGGAATCTGAGAGCTGAGTTTGAATTCCAGTCAAATATGTTATATTCACTTATACACAAACACCCATCTCATCTACCCCTGCTATGGATTAAATAGTAAAACTTGTGTCTGGAAAAATCATTGTTATTCTCAAAAAATATTCATACAATATCCACTTGCAAAAAAACGAATTATTCTTATAATTCCAAATATGTTTTGGCTTTACCCACAAAAAATTAATCAATAATATCTGTATTTTAAAAATAATCTTTGAGTGATAAATAATTTCAGGCACAAATAAAATATATTGTCTTATTTGTCAAGTTTAAAATATTCCTTCTACTTCTCACTCAAGCTCCAGAGAGTGAGGAATGAAAATCGGTATGCTTATTTTTTCTTTTACATTTACTATCAAGAAGTGACTACAGTATAAAAAGAGTAATTTTTTTTTTCTCCTTGCTCTTTCTTTTAAAATGTCAGTTTTTAATAGCTATAATAAAATTTTCCATTATATTAGAAATAACAGAAAAACCTATTTCTCTTTTATTTATTTTTTTATTTGGTCAAGCTACCTCAGACATGTATAAGTCTATCACACTAACCATCACATTCCTGAAGGTGGGGAGGTCATTAGGGAAGCATTCTGTATCATAACAGCTGGTCAATGTAGGCAGTTGCTGGGTGACCAACCTGTCTTGCTCCATGGCTACATGTGTAGTGAACAAAGACAAGATCTAGATTTAAAATCTAAATGCTAAGCACTGACTCATTGATTTTGTTAGAAATTAAAAAAACTTGAATTTACAAACTTTGCTTAACACACACAAAAAGGAATCTAAAACAAAACTTGTAAAATTTCACACCTTGATGCGAAATGTCTTTCAGCCAATAGAAAACTAGGAAACATTTAAAAACAAAATTCAAATAATTTTCAATTCTCAGAAACAAATTCTTTTACAGACCTTTTCACCCAGCTGATGTGAAATTTGTTCATCGTCCAATGGAAAGGCCCAAATCATATCCGGGAGTGAATTCCCTAATGACTTTTTCAATCTCCACAAACAAAATAAAAGACGGGCAAGTTCGCCTGTCACCAGAGAGAGAGAGAGGAGACAAGTGTATCAACATATCTCTTGACAAACGTCTAGCAACCATTGTTATAATCTCTACCTTTCTCCCTCACCTCTTTTATGCTTGATAAACAAAAGGAACATTTAGTACTGAGTGATTACTTCAAAGACATTCCTACCCTATGATAATGCCCATACATCCACACATAATTTCCTGCCTACGTACACAAACTCATTCTTGCTAGGACTACTACGAACATTTTGATGACCTTGTATCAACCAAAATACATTAATTTTATTTGTAAAGACCTAAATTGATTTATATGTATATAAATGCATTGTTTCACTTTACAATTTGATTTTCTTGTTTTATACCCCTCTTATGGTGGGCTATCTAACTAACAAGGCCAAATCAAACTAATTTGTTTCAACACTCATATATTTCACTATAACTGATAAACCACACCATAGGTGTTCAGGGCAGTGTATCACTCACAAGTTCTTGTTTTGCTCATCAACAGTATTCTGCAAATTGCATATTGTATTCATGTATTCATGTAAGATTGTAGAAATATCAGGAATGGGTCCATAGAGCTGTGATTTAGCTGGATGTTGTCTCCAAGAAATGTTAAGTATTGCACTCAGCATCTGAGTGTTGGCTTCATCAAGCTTAGACTGTAGGATTTTAGTTAATGTTCAGTCAGTGACACTGTACATTAACACCACCTCTACAGTGGCTTGAAAGAACCTCTATTTGAGTTTGTCTGGTAGATCAGATGTCCAGATTGCATCCATTTTATTCAAGGTGGCCCAGGCTTTTGCTATGCTAATTTTCATATCCTTTTCAGTAGAATTTATTTCACTTCCTAGGAATGTAAAGGTTTTATTGATTCATCTTTGTTGCTGGTTGAAGCCTATGAATTCAGTTTTAGAGGCATTGACATAGAGTCCAACATTGTTAGCAGGATTTTATAGATGATGTAGGAGAATGGCACCTGCAGTAATAGATAGGTCATTTGTATAGTCAATATTGGACAGCTTTTTTACAGGATATTGACTTGAAAGTATAGAGTATAAACCTAGATGATGATGTTTGTCAAGAGAAGTTCTCAATACATAGATAAGAGTGATAACAAAGAGAAAAGGTGCAAGGGTGTTATCTTGGAGGACCCCCTGCTTTGATGTTAAAGAAGCTAGTGTCTCCATCTGAGGATCTAATCAAAGATTTGGTACTTTTGTATAGCATCATTATAGCAGCTACTCTCAGAGAGCATGCCATGTGTCACAAAGGATTTTTATTTTTTTCCTGTGTATAGAATCGAAAGCTTAAAAGAAATCTACAAAAAAGGTGGCCTGTAGATTCTTTGGCCTAATGCCCGCAGTAATTCACCAAACTGCCAGGATTTGTCCAATGGCTGATCTGTTTTTTGGAGCACTTTTCCTACTTCAGGTTGTATTCTGTTGAGAAGCATTGAATTGTAAATTTTTGCTACAATGAAGATAAGCATGATTCCTTTATAATTTTTTGCTGATCCTAAATCTCCTTTCTTTTGGAAAGGAAGTAGGAATCCTTCTGTCCATCTTCCTATGATTTCTTCATTATATATAGCATTACAGAATTGGAGTAGAATATCATTGGAACCCTGGGTTTTCCAAACCTTCAGTGGAATGTTAACAAATCCCACTGCTTTCTTATTTTTGTTGTTTTTAAAGCCATTTCATGTTCTGTATCTGTGAAGTTTCCAGGTTTAATGTCAAGGGGATGTTCAATGATTTCTTTAACCTCAGTATCTAAAATGTCAGGTAGATTTCCCAAGAGATTTTAAAAATGGTCTTGCAATTTATTCAGCCTTTTAGCCTGACAATTGGCCTTTAACTTGAATTTGTTGATTTTCTGTCACTGATCTTGTCAAAAGTTTTCCAAGCAAGAACAGATTGTTGGCAGTAGCAGAGTTGAAGAAATCCAATTTTTCTCTATGTATACAAGCTTGTTGATCTTCATACATCACTAGAAAGATCCATTTCTATCTAGTGGACTTCTGTAATGATGTAGAACAGTATTATACACACACATGCAAAATATAACATTTTTTATATACCATATTCACTGCAATATACAGAGTATTTTTTCTATTTTGATATAGCATTTTTTTAATTTATTATTAATGTTCGCTTACAGCCATATCACGTTGAAACACTGGTTCTAATATGATCACCAAAGTTAAGCAATATCAAGTCTAGTCAGTACCTAGATGGGTGACCACTTGGGAATATTAGGTACTGTAAGCTTGGATGTGTAGGTGCCATAATAGATAATGGCTATGAATTGGAAATTGGAATTCCAATTCCAGTCAGGTTCGTTATATTCACTTACACACTAATACCCTTGGGAAAGGTACGAATCTACCTCTTCCTCTATGAGTTAATTATCAAAACTTCTATCAGTAAATCATTGTTATCTCCATAAACTTCTTACAATTTAAGAATATTTTCTGGCAAAAGGTTGATAAGTCATAAAAATCTAATCAAAACTTCAAAGTATTATTAATGTTATTTTTATTTGCAATCATAATTTTATTTCAGCTGGGTTATAACATGGTGAAGTGGTGCCATCATTCTTTGACAACTGAGGCTAAGAGACCATGATGTCTTGCTTGCCCAGGTACAACAACCATTTGCAATTTAGTCAAACTGAATGCATGATTCTAGATCTTTTAAAACTATCACTAATTTGCATGCATGGTGAAAATCCTGAATAAAATGTGAGCTGCACAGGCAAGCAGTAGAACAACTTGAGGACTTTGACTTGTTCAAGTCTGGGCTATTTGTGGCTATCTACTATAAGCTATTTCAACAGATTTAATTTCTTCCATTTCATCATGGACAAAATATTTGACTAAAGAATAATTCCAGAGATTGGTGGTACCATTACAGATTAACCTGTTATACAATGGATTTAAAGCTTTCAAATGATATGTGAACTCTGCAAGACAATGGATGTTGAGCAAATATTCTTGCTGTGTCTGAGAGACAGTGCTCTTATCATATACCAGCACCTAGACAGAGAGGAGAAGGCAATTTTGCAGTACATCAAAAAGGACTTCATAGATTCGTATACTTCAGACCCATTCATTGCATACAACCAATTTGTCATGCAATGACTTTGCCTAGAAGAGACGGTAAACAAATATCTAGCAGATTTGCAATGATCTGCTTTTCTGAGAATGGTGGATAGCTTGGGCCTTTATTTCAGGACTGTCACAGCACATTAGGTGGATTCTCTGAGTTTTGTTAAGAATAGATAGCATTACTTTGGAACAACTAGTAACCTGGGCATGAGCAATTATTACCAAAGATCTCAGAGAGATTACTGCTGCTGCTCAGCAAGACAACATGAAAATTGAAATGCAGAATGCTATAAATGCTCTGGTCCCAATCATTTGACCAGAGACTACCTGCAATGACATGCAGAGAAAACTACTGATCAACCTTGTCACCAGTTGCGCAGAAGGATGTAATGTTTCTGATGTAATAAGGCTTGGCATGTTGCATCAGCATGTCTGGGAAGCATCTCAGAGGGAGAAGTCATTAGCACCAAGTGAAAAATGAGACATTGCCAACAACTGACAGTTTTGAATGGAAGGAAGTGCACAGACCTTAGCAGACACTGGGTTAGCAGGTTTATTTGCTGCTCCTGGAAGACTATAGAGGTGAAGATGCTGTTGGCTGATGGAAAAGAACCTAAAATATTGCTAAATCTAGATCATGTTTAGCATAGATGGCACTGAGCCAGGAAACATTGAGGCCATAGTCATGAACAGACAACTCTTGGGGTTTGATCACATATTCGTGAGTGATGCCCATAAGGGGTGACGAGTGGCATCACCATCACATCAACTGGAGTAGTAAGCTTTGCTGGAAGGAAGAAGTGTACAGCAATAGGACTTAATGAACCAAATTTCTCCATAGAGTTTTTGACCAAATCCAGAATTGCTAAATTGTGAAATGGAAGTGGTCAGGATGACAAGTTTTAGAGGCCCTGTGCAATGAGATATTGGAGGACTACATTCCCAAACATATTGGGAGGAGCTAAAAAGCCAAACTTTGGAGTTGGATATAAAATGGATAGCTGCTGCCCTATACTGAAGTAAAATTTGATCCCCCTAAAGGACTATTTCTCCTAATGGCCATGATCCAATGCATCAAATAAAAAGTATGCACAGTTATAGACTACAGAGAGCTCAATCAAGACATTAACATATTTACAACTGATGCTGACATCTGCATGACCAAATTGAAGGAATGGTGCAAAAAAAGTTAAGAATGTATTGCTACTGGATTTGAGGAAAGCATATCTTCAGGTTCACATTGACAAATCATTGTGGCGATACCAAACTCTGGTGATCCAAGGTAAAAGATATTGCCTGATGCACCTGGGATTTGGCCTCAACACAGCATTACTGATAATGAAATCAATTGTTGAAGCTATACGATCTCAAGAGGACAAAGTGAAGGAAGTAACATCCACCTTCAATGATGACATTTTTGTCAATGATAGTGTTCCATCAATGACAATTTGAACTCAACAGCAGGGATCCATATTGCCTGAACAAAGGGATGAAGGAATTAAGCTTTGAAGTCTGGTGGTAGGACAACACCCTGTAATGGAAGTGAGGAAATGCATTTCCTGATATTTCTAACCTAATTACATGACATGTGTTTTCTATTTGTGTAAAATTTGTTGGAAATTTCCCCAACTGTGGCTGGTTTAGACTGGCTACCAGATTTATCAAATGGAGGATGAACATGATTTCATATAACTGGGATGAAGAGCTGACCGATGCTTCATTGAAGATGAGGATACAAGAAACAATTGCTGGAGAGGAACAGAACAATCCTGTGAAGAGAGAATAATGTACTACCAGCCAGGAAATGGACTTGTTGGTAGATGCAAACTCCCCTGCCACTGGGATATTGCTGGAAGGAAACAGAGCGGTGATTGTGAATGCATGCTTTGTTGCATCCAGACAATGGCTCCATGCATATCAATTTGATTGAGGTTAACACAGTAATAAAAGACAAGTGAAAGTGCTCCATCTGAAAATTGACTCCTTGTGCACATATCATTAGCTGAAGAACAGCTTGGCTGGCAAGGCAAATTTTCTCACCAAGGGAGCACGAGAAATGTTGGTGAAAAGGAAATATCAAATATTCTCACAGGTGACTGGGGAATATGGGCTGTCAACTGATGTGATATCAATGTGGTCAGAACAGAACAGAGCTGAAAGAGTCCCACAAAAAATAGTTCAAGGCTATGAAGAAAGCGGAAGAGATGGCACTGAATTGCATTACTTCCCTGAGCAAAAGCCGGATATTGACTGACATAACCAGCATCCTGGGATAAGATGAATAGTCTATTTTATGAGTTAATCCATCTACATCTAAGGCAGATATAAGATCTGCAATAAAATCTTCTATGGAATGTCAATTGATAGATCAAGCACTGGTGCACTGAAGGAGGGGGAAACTAGATGCGGAAATCAATTAGAACTGATTGGGAATGAATATTACCCACTATGGTGATAAACATTTCTAACCTTCATTGATTGTAAACACTTCAAATTCATAACATGGTGATCCATTTGATGCCAGGAATCAGCCAGTGGGATTTGTTAGTTGTATGCTATTTTTTGTGAGTGGGGTCTGCTGAATGTTGCCTTCCCTTGTGGATGATTTAGAAACTTCCTGAAATTTCAAGGTGTTTAACTTAAGCTCTGATATGCCTATGTGTTATTTAAATGAGTCTCTATTACTAAGACATTGCTTGTACAATTCAAGATACCGACTAGTTCAATCTGCTGCACTTGCTTGCCGAACACTTCAAAACATAAAATCCGTCTCCCCTTCTTGCTACTTTAGCCCTCTTTTATCAGGTCAACACTGCGGTCGACCAACCAATCAGTGTTCTTTGCTTTTATTCTCAGTTACCCAGGTAAATAGCCTCCGCCAGTTCAAACAATCAGCACATGACTTGATATTGGTTGAAGCATGCCAAACTGTACAAAACCCTTGTTACCGGACATACTGCTGGAATTGCTAGACAGGAGAGGAATGCCATTTCCAAGGAGCAAACTTGCCGATGTCATATGCCACATTCTGAGGTAAGACCCTTATTGTCCTATGCATCAGATGCAAGCCACTCTGGCTCGCTTGCTTCTATGAGACCGTTCACCACACTATGCCTCAGCTAGAAATGGAATTTTGGAGAGATGCCACAGAACCATTGCAGCCAGGAAACAGTGCATTATACAGGTAGCAGTATACTGGCATGTGACACCCAAAGACGGTGTTTCTTCTTTTTCAGCCCCACCAAACATGATACCAAGATGCTATGCCAGAGTTAGGGTGTTTAACACTGTGCTTCCACCAAAACCATATTATGAACAAGAGACATACAAGGTAGGGGAGCCTGTCTAGGTCAATATCCCAAATGGTAGATACACTACAAGATTCAAAGTGGGCCATGTTGACTAGAGTCAAGAGTCAGTGGAAAAGACGTGCATCTCTTCCCAGAGTCATACTCATCAGGAAATGAGAGCAGCGTGGAGGAAAGTGTGAGGCTGATTTAAGTAGGATCAACCTCACCAGAATACGATGATGATTCATCTGCCTTGTATCAATGGAAAACTGTCACTTGGTTCAATGAGTTTCACTTTCTCCTGATGATCAGCATGGTACATGCATACTGTTATTGTAAGGAAGTAATAGTACCTTGATTTACTATGGAAAAACAGTCTGTGAAGTTACTATTTTGGTTTTTAGGTAATGTTAAACTGGCTGTTGGTTGGTTAGTGTATTTTATGGCATATCAACTCTTGCTGGGTTATTCAATATCATTTTTTTTATTAATCTTGCGTCTATAAGCAGATATAGTTAGTGTTTATACTTTATAAGAAGAAATAGGTATTTCTCAATATCCCTTGTGTCCACATCCAGTATGTGATTCCTTCAGAGGATGCAGTCAATTCCAGGGTTAGTTGGTTCCATCATGGATACAAAAGGTAGTGTATCATGTATCATTTATCTGAACAAATGAGAGGATCAGATACACTCCACCATAGAAGGCAGTGTTATCATTCTGGACAATACACTTTGCCACACTGCTTGAATTATAGAGACATTATTTCAGGAACTTGAATATTTCTTTGTGTTGCTCTGTGAGCTAAACTACCCAGATCTCAACCCCACTGAGAACTTATGAAATACATTGGACAAACAAATAACTTG